ACACATTCTACATGTCAGCGAACACACTCTACATGTCATAGAACACACTCGCTTGTCAGAGAACACACACTAGATGTCGAAGAACACACACTACATGTCAAACAACACAAACTACATGTCAGAGAACACACTCTACATGTCAGAACACACTTTACATGTCTGAGAACACACTCTACATGTCAAAACACACTCTACATGTCAGAGAACACACTGTACATGTCAGAGAATACATTCTACATGTCAGAACACACTCTACATGTCTGAGAACACATTCTACATGTCAGAGAATACATTCTACATGTCAGCGAACACACTCTGCATGTTCAAGAACTCACTGTATGTGTTCGAGAACTCATTCTACATGTCAAAGAACACACTCTACATGTCAAAGAACTCACTCTACATGTCAGAGGACTCACTCTACATGCCAGAAAACACCCTACATGTCTGAGAGCTCACTCTACATGTCAGAGAACACACTCTACATGTCAGAGAACACATTCTACATGTCGGAGAACTCACTCTACATGTCGGAGAACTCACTCTACATGTCAAAGAACTCACTCTACATGCCAGAAAACACCCTGCATGTCTGAGAGTTCACTCTACATGTCAAAGAACTCACTCTACATGTCTGAGAACACACTCTACATGTCAGATAACTCACTCTACATGTCGGAGAACTCACTCTACATGTCAGAGAACTCACTCTACATGTCAAAGAACACTCTACATGTCAGAGAACACACTCTATATGTCGGAGATCTCACTCTACATTTCAAAGAACACGCTCAATATGTCAGAGAACTCACTCTACATGTCGGAGAACTTGCTCCACTCTGATCTGTCAGGTTGTTTTTAACATCAGAAACTCGCCTGTGTATGTTTGTAACCTCAGCCCATTGTCATGGTAACCTGACTCATCCTGCTGGGCGGCCCGGCGCTGATGTCACGGGGCAAAGAGCAGCTGATTGGCCGCCTGATGAATGGTTTTGAGGTTGAATGGTTCTGTGAGACGGCGCCATGCACCCAGATGGAACAACAAACCAGATGTGATTTGAAGCAGCAGCATCACATTTCTGACTTCGTCCTGATGAATGTCTGCGCTGGAAGGCGGTTTACAGATGTGACAGATGTTTTGTTTTCATCTCCAGCTTCTTTGCTCAAACATGTGACCTGCTGGACTGTTTGGACAGACCTGCGAGCCGTCTGGGTTCAGAGGGTCCACGTTTTAAACAGCAGAGTAAAGAACAATCTGCAGAATCTGTGGGGTCCTGGTGGATTTGGACCATGGTTGTTTGTTCACAGAAGAAAGCTTTCAAGGAAAACTGCTTCATCACTGAAACATGGAGGCTCAGAATGAATCAAGACCAGCTGAGGGTTCATTTGGAGCTCAGAGAGCAGCTCTGCATAAAATCTACAGAATAAAGTGAAATATTAAATTAGCTGCGTCCACAGGAGCTCAGAGGTTCAAGATGAACAGAGGGACCGCCTCCATCTGGATCGTCCAGGTGTGTGTTCACAAGATGGAAAGACATAAGAAATGACCTCAGAGAAGCAGCTGTTGAAGGGTCAAAGGTCACTCCCAAACTATCTGGAGTCCATCGTTCTAGAGGAGGAAGATTCTTCAAACGAGGAGAACATTCACCCTGAAGGTCAGACCATGCAGTAACAGGCCTCAGTCAGCATGTCAAAGGTCATGACCTCGTTTCGCTAAAAACAACATGGTAGCACGACTTAGGTTCGTCTGAAGGAACCACAAGACTTCTGGACCAGAACCAGACCAGAGGACAGATGTTTACCCAGAATGTACTGCAGCAAACAGCTCCACCAGCTGTCCGCACGGTGGTGGAGGCTGATGGTCTGGGCTCCTGTCAGTCACTGAGTGGACCAGAACTAGAACAGAACTATCTGATTCTGGAATTGTGCCGTTTGGGGTGGCTGCATGTTGGAGCAGCTCTGGTACTTTCATTCTGAGATTTTGCTTTTGGAAACTTTAATTCCTCTTTTTCTGGACGTAACTCACCTTCACCTTATTGAGCATGCGTCAGGGTAACTCACCTTGTTCGGATGATTGTTTCCTCTGGTGTCAGATGCTGTGCAGCTGGGAGGATTTGTACTGAAACTTGTTTACTTTTGGACATTTGTTATGATGCGTAACCATGACAACAAGGTGGGTTTTTGTACAGCCCCAAATGTCAAATGAGTTGAAAAAGGAGGCTCCGTATATGCTTTCCCGTCTCCCTGCCAGCTGTGCTCGAGTGCCAGACCACTAAGATCCTAGAACTGGCAGGAAACATGGCTCATGACAACAAGAAGACCAGGATCATCCCCCGACACCTGCAGCTGGCTGTCCGCAGCGGCGAGGAGCTGAACAAACTGCTGGGAGGAGTGACCATCGCTCAGGGAGGAGTTCTTCCTGGGATTTGGGTGGTCCTGCAGCCCGGAGGAACCGAGAGGCCAGCCGAGTCTGGGTGGATGAATCAGACGGCGTCTGCGGCCATTTTCTTCGGCTCCACTGTGGGATGGACCTTTACAAGAGATCTTCCTGCAGCCATCAGCATCTAAAACATCTCTTAATGAAACAAGGATGATGAGTTACAACATTTAATTTCCCTTTGGGAACTCCTCCGGAGACCAAAAGGTTCTGGAGTCCAACAGCTGAAGCTTGGACCAAACTGGGTCCAGCAGGACTGTGATCCAGAACACAGCAGTTGATCTACAACAGAACGGGTCGGCATGAATAGAACCAAGGTTCTGCTACGGTCCAGTCGGGGTCCAGAACCTCAACCTGCCTGAAATTATGTGGTGGACCTTCAGAGAGCTGAGCAGAACCTTTACGGAGCTGCAGATCAAAGTTCACAGCTTTAAATGAACTGGTTTCCCTCTGATTGAGACTCCTCCTCCTCCTCCTCTTCCTCCTCCTCTTCCTCCTCCTCCTCCCGTAGCAATCACACCATCGTCATGGCAACCACTCGAGCCTCCAGCCAGGTGCCAATCAGCCTCCTGCCACGACGAGTGAGAGTGAATTTTTTGTTCGGCAGCTGAAAGTAAAGAGCGAGGCAGAGCGACCTCCTCGACCCAATCAGTGCTGAGCCTCTCAGCTGGTTCTGACCTCGTTGCGGCGCCTCCTGCTGGAACGACCCGAGGCGCTGTTCTGGAAAACGATTATCAGAAGAATGACGACGAGCAGCTCATTCACAAAGAAACGGTTTATTTATCAGATGCAGGCACTGCAGGGAGACGAGCCCGGTTCTGTTCTGGACATCCCTGCTGGGCTCAGCAGCAGAAGGAGACGTGTCCTCATCAGAACCGTCTTCTCATTTAAAATGGACCGAGCCTCAGCGAGACTTTTCCTCACATGTCGTCTCTGACTCAACTTTAACTTTTAAGAGTTGGAGACAGATTTTATTGTTTGTCTAACAGCTGCCTGTCTGTCTGTCCCCTGTCTGTCCTCTGTCTGTCCCAGTGCTCGTTCGTCCCCCAGTGTGAGAGGGACAACCAGAGGAACATTGAGAACGTCCTGAGGTGGGAGGAGAACTTCACGCAGGTGGTCAGCAGCCAGGCCTTCACCTGCTACTTCAACCATCAGAGGAGGTGAGACACACCACGTCTCACTCTCCTCTCAGTGTGAGACGGACAAATTGAAGCAGGACATGTGAAGTCTGACGGGTCCATGTCTCTTCAGGAAGGTGCTGACCATCGGCTCACACACGTTTTGTCCATTTTTCTAACATTGGACCCAACAGAAGAAACCCAGACCTGAATGTTCCTCAGGATCTTAGAGGTCCGTTTGGAGCTGGTTCTGACAGAACGTCTGCGCAGTTCTCCCTCCAACATAATGTTCTGTTGTCAGGTCCTTCATCCAGCCTCCACTTCCTCCAAATAAAAACTAAATAATCATAAAAAATAAACAGTTTTATTAAAAACACTGAGTCCGAGGCAAAATCAAACACGGAGTTTCAAGTCTAAATATTTTTGTCTGACAGGAGAGTCCTGTCCGGTCATTAAAGGTGCAACGAAATAAAAAAACGCGTATCGTCCACCTTCCATCCAAACGTTTAGAACAAAGATTTCCTACAATCAATAAAACGTGGGCCGGTACTCATCAGGACGCAGTACAGATACTTCTAGATGATGGTCCTTCTTGTCCCGTCAGTTTTAAACGTCCTGCCTCGTCTCATAAACCTGCCGGTACCGCGTGACTTCAGTCGTAAACAGGAAGTCATGACGGCCTCTGATTGGGCCAGGTTTAGGGAGTCAGGTGACACTCGACACATGAGGAGCAACGATTGGTCAACGTTAAGGACGAGGAGCCAATCAGAGGCAGAGCTGGACAAGGGTCTGGTTCTGGGGAATGTTAGGAATAAAATAACATTTGATGATAAATTGTGGAAAATAACATAATGTGGGTTGGTGAATATAATGTTTAATTATGAATTATGGAAAATAGATCATATGAAGTTGACTAATATCTGTCAGATGCGTAAACTAGGCCACAAACTGATAAATAATATCTTTTTAGTGACTGCTAACTTTTAAAATCAACCATGACACTTTCTGCTGTCAGTAAGAAAATAGTTCCTTATTAGGCCTTTAATGAGAAAACAAAACAACTCAAAGGTTCTTGTTCAGTTAAATAAGATTAACTATAAAGTGAAATTATAGTTCACATCATTTGAGTATGTGTGAGGATTATAAAATAATTAATAATGAGTTAAAGAGCAACTTAATAGGTCAGAACGACCGTAGCGCAATCTAAGACTTGATAATGTAATAAGTTACCAAAAGGATAACCAGAGTCTCACAGTCAATGTAAGATTATTTGCGTGTGCTAAATTTTGTCTTATGGAACGAGAAATGTGTCACGTACTCGGCTGAACGAGAGGACAGCTAATGTGTGCCCGATTGATTGGACAGGGATGAGAACCAGGAAGTGTGTCGGGGACTAATTGGACAAGAATGGTGAATAGGAGGGACTCCAGAGAGTCTGTACGGTGTTTGATTGGATATAAATTGAAAACAGGAAGTGTCACGGGGTGGATAAACAGCATCTATTAATGTGGGAACAGAGCTGACACAGGGCAGAATTGTACGGGGGGCCTTGATGTCAGGTAAAATATACATATATACACAATTCTCTCTTGTTCACACAGTTTGAAGTCTGTAAAAATAACGATGTTTAATTCTGACATAAGTTCCTTCCGAGCAAACAACCCGGGTGGGGGAGAGAAGAAAGATCGTTGTTTCCTCTTACGGGGGGGGGAGACTGCTAATCTGTGGGTAAATAAAGTCTTAACCAAACAAAATGGAGATGTTTGACATGAGGGTGGGGCAGCCTCTAAGCTCCGCCTACCTTTGGATGTAAACACTCCCTGAAATTTGTGCTTTAAAATATATATCTTTGAAGGTTTTAGGAGCCAAACGACTGCAGCTTGTCAGCTGCTGCTAAAGTCGCTGCTGATCATCGAGCGTTTTGTAGAAAAACTAATAAATTTCAACTGAAGCTCCTCAGAGGAGACTTAACGTTCCGGTTTAATTTGTTGGAGCGTTGGGAACTCAAAAGGAATTAAATCATTTAAACATCATTAAAGGTGCGTTACCCAGGAGCTGCTAGTAAATCGATAGCATCAATAATAAATAATAATAATGATAATGATTGATGCTAATTAAAATGTTTAAATGAAGGCGATGGAGTGTCTGTTACAGAGGACCCTCAGCTACTACCACACTTCAGTTTTAAAGATTGTAAACCCAGTTTTTATCTCATCCATCCTCTGTAAAAAAACAAAACAGTATTTTACAAAATAATTTAAATTAAATTAACTTGTTTTATGTCCATTTTTCTGCAAAGATTGAGCGTGAGCATCAAATTTATATATATATATATATATATATATATATATATACATATATATAAATATATATATAAAAATCTGCTAAATTATTGGTTAAAACTAGCAAAACAGAACTAAAAGCTAAAATTAGCATAAAAAACTGAAATATAGCTAAAAATTAAAAGTAGCAAATCTCTGGCTAAAAGCTAAAATTGTCAAAAATATAAGTTAAGCAGGCAAAAATGACTGCAGCTAATAGCTACATGTACCAAAACTGTAGCTAAAATCTAAGATTGGCAGAAATGTAGCTAAAGCTGGACATAAACTGTAGCTTAAAGCTAAATGTAGCAAACTAAGCTAAATGTTACATTTCCACAAATAGTAGCTAAAAGCTTAATGGCAGTTAAAAAGTAAATGTAGCACAACTCTAGCTTAAAGCTAAAAATGTAGCTAAAGCTAGCCCAAAAAAATATATAGCTATATGCTAAATGAATCAAAACTGTAGCTAAAATCTAAAAATGTAGCTAAAGCCAGCCAAACAAAACTGTAGCTATATGCTAAATGAAGCAAAACTATAGCTAAAAGCTAAAAAGATTCCTATGAAACCAAAGTGATCTCAGTGAGTTTCTGTGGGGAAGTCTTTTGTGATTTAAGGTTAAATTTTCGTGAAAGTCTAAAAGTGAGAAAGACGTTGTCAGAATTAGATCTTCCTGATGGAGCGAAACATTTTGAATCTTTTAATCCACGTCCTGTCTCATAAAATGTCTCGTTAAAATATCTTAACGAACCCGCTCCTAACGAGTCAGGCAGCACGCCTGTCGATGAGTAATCTCCGGATCAGTTTTTGGGTCTTAGCCGTGTCTGGAAACGTAAACCTGGTGAGAGCCATTTTTGACATCTTGACCTTTCTCATATGAGCACATCTTGTTTCCGTGGTAACCAGTCCAGCAGCAACACGCTGATTTAATGGCATGTCATTTCACCACGTTACACGCCTCCATCATATCATTAAAGTATAAAAATGCTGTTGTGTTCGTTCCTGTAAGGACCCGCTGATTGGACCTTCGGGGCCTTTTTATTTTTCTCAAGTGATTTGCGATGAAAGGAACTCGACGACGTTCTGAACAAAAAAGAAAAATGGGGGAAAAGATGGAGTTTATTAAATTAGAGTTTCACTGAGAATGCAGTATGAACTTGGCGGGCCGACTACCTGCTGAACGTTGATGAGAAACTGGGGTGTTAAAGCTAAAAGGTGCACGCTAGCTAAATGCTTAAAAACTAGCTAAAAGCAAAAAGTAGCAATAATATACACAAACATAAATGCAGAATAAAATCTAATTTAAATTGGACGAGGGACACCAGGAAGACGCCGTTTGGTTGGCGGCACAGTTTGAGGTGCACGTCCCCCTTTGTGAATCTGGGCCTTGTTTGTTTTTCATAAACACAAATGAGTCTTTGTTTCATAAATCCTGTTTTTACTGTTTGCACCTGTCAGAATAAAAGACTATTTCACTGAATTTGTCTTTTATTCTGAAGTATTGAATGCCTGTGAGAGAAGCGTTGTTGGTGAATAAACAATAACGATGTTTTGTTTTCCTGCTTGTTGTTGTGGTGCTGAAGGCCGGACGACGTGTTGTGGCACAGCTCCCATGACGCCAGCGTCCTGCTGCACTGCATCCTCTGGCCAATGGTCTCGCTCCTTCTGGGCACGCTCATTGTGCTCCTGACGGTGTGCGCCCGCTCTCTGGCCGCCCGGGCCGAAGCCCTTCAGAAGAGGAAAGGTTCATACGAGGACCTGCCGGCCACGCCCCCTGATCACCATAGCAACAAGCCCGAAGACCCCCTGACGACGAACTCTGACCCCGAGCCGCCGTCGCCATCGAGGGCCCTGCCGCTGTTCGCTGTGCCGGTGCGGCGGCGGGACCGGGAACACTAGGACAGACACGAAGGAGGGTTTGAGTCACTGCGGGTCGGACCGCGTGGAGACGTTCTGACCAAAACAGGATGAAGATGAAGATGAGAACTCCACCTGCCCTGTAGAGTTCATCAGAAACTGTAGACTGTTTTGCTCCATGTGGAAGCTGAGCAGAACCCGCCGAGGTTCTGATGAAAGGATTGTGTCCAGTCCAGGTTCTGGTGGCTGAACTTGGATCCAACTTCCAGAGCTCAAACGTGTTTCTGTGTCACGTTAGCTTTCATCAACCAACGTTAACGAGCGAGAAGACTTCTTTCATATTTGATGCAGAACTTTCCCCGTCGTGTTTGCTGAGCGGCCAGAGATCCACAAGACGGTGAGCAGACTGCCTCCTGAGGCGTCGACTATCAAACCAGTCTGGGCGGAACTTTAAAGACCGTCATCAAACTGGTCCCATTTAAAGTCTTTTCTCTGAGCGATCGTTCACGTGATCCAACGACGCAACCAAAGCTTCGCAACGAAGGTCCAAAACATCACAACTCTGAGTTAACGGTGACATTCTGCCGTCGAACCGGCTGTTCTGAGTCCAGTTGGGATGCTGCTTAATCTGCTACGTACCCAGCAGTCGTCGCTTTGTACCCACTGGTGTTCGGTAGCAGCTGGGTTCTGGCTGGGTTGGACCCGTGCACGGAACATCTGGTCAGAGTGGAAGTCAGTTTTTGCAAATTTGAGCTAAATTTAAAAAGTAGCAAAGACTTAATTAAAAAAATGCAAATTAAACCAGCTGAGCTGTAGTAAGTCTTTGTCAGGAAGCGTTAGATCTAAGGGTTTTTATTGTTTTTAAGCTTTAGATCTAAGTGTTTTTATTGTTTTT